GCTCCTTCATTTTCTGATGTAAAAACAATCAAATGACATTTCTGCAGAAACGCGATTGAAACAAAGCTTTAGAGTCGCATCCAGGATCTGGTTTCCTCTGTTTAAATACATGAAAACCGTCTCAGACCGTTATGACTCCGTACCTCGTATTTGCCCTCGTTCTCACTCTTGGTCCGCTCCACATCCAGCATCAGGCTCCAGGCCCGGCCCCGGAGCTGAAGGGGGATCCCCTTGTACACCCGCTTCACCATCTGACAGCAGAACCCCAACAGAACCAGTGAGAGGAAATAAAAACTCTGTGTGAGATCCGACCGAGCTGGAGGAATATCTTTGGTCCAAAATGAGACAAGAACGTCTGTGTCTGGACTTCAGGTCATCAGTGGTTAGGATTTATTAACTGTTAGCTAAACATCTCCTGAATGAAGGCCACATGAACATCTAAAACTCATTAACTCATTCACTGCCATTGACGACTAATGACGTCATTTGCATGTTTTTACTGTCGTGGGCGTCGGACAAGCCCCCGCACCGAGAGAACAAACATCTCAGCCCTGAAGCCGATCTTCATCCGCTTACGTCACACGTCACGTGATCAGGAAGCAGAACACCATGTGTTAGGAGATCGTTTTGGGTCGCTGCTGTAAAAAAAGTGAGGTCGTGAACCGGAAAAGCTTCTGCCGATCACAATTCAACAACGGATTATGAAAGAACGGATAACACTCGAAACGCATGGATTCTTCCTGATGTAAGAGGTGAGTCTCCGCTTTGTTTTGGTTTGTTTTGGCGTCGACGTCATCCTAGCGCGCAACGTTCTGTCACTCTTAAAAAACTGTAAAAACGGTGAGAAACGCTGGCAGCGAATGAGTTAATGTCTGGAGCCAGTCCAATTAAAGATGGCCGCTACACATGGACGTAGTTTTGAATTTAGAAGTGGGGGGGACACAACCCGGCATGAGGACTGGGGAAGGGGGGGGGGGGGTCGTCTGTACAGTAAGTATACAAAAAACATGTTTAAACTACAGCCTAGAGGCTCTTTTATGCAGTCAGGAATGCAAAACCGTCAAGTACAACAGGTGGCAGGAACGGCCAGGTCACACGCCCACATGTTAGCATGTATCGGCAGAGCCGATCCACTTCACTAAATGTGATGGGTAACTGGGTGATGATGAAACCAGCGACAACAATCTAAGTGAGACATCCTCATCTTAATCTGCTCTGGTAGGTAAATAAAATGTTTAATATAACGTTAGCTTGATATGTTAGCTTCTGTTCCGCTAATGGTGCGTTCGCTTTCTCCTCGAACTCCGAATTTCCAACTAGAAGAACATGAACGCGCTCTAAAGTTTGGCTTCACTTTACTAATGCGACGGGTGATTGGGTGAAGATGAAACCAGCGACAACGATCTAAGTGTGAGGCATCATCGTTTAATCTGCTCCAGCAGCTAAATAACTGTTTAAGACAACGTTAGCTTTGATAAATTAGCTTCCATTGCCACCATTGTTATCAGCTAATGGTGTGTTTCGCTTTCTCCTCGGAAATTCTAACTTCCCAGTAGGAAAAATCAAATGAAAAAACTACAAGACGATGTTAAAATACAACAGTTGTATGTTATTTATCGTGATATTTACCAATATGGTTATATATTGAGAAAAGATATGTATTTAATTGTCAAAGAGAATTAAATATTAAACTCTCAAAAGTATCTAAAATTGGTACCGTTAAGTACCGGTATTGATTCCTAGGTACCGGGAATTAGTACCGAATCAATTCAAATGTCAAAGGTACCCATCCCTAGAGCCAACAGATGAGCTTATGGACGGTTTGTTTTCTGCTTGGTCCTAGTGCTCAACTATTATTTTAGATGGTAAAAAAGTGCAAGGACACAAACTGACTCTGGGAAAAGTGTCCATGCCGTCACAGCTTATCAATATCAGCAAACAGGTCTCTGAGTCCGTGAGTTTAAAGATTTGATGTGTCAGCAGCTCCATCGTGTATCAGCCTGAGATGGTCTTTGTCTACAGCTGGAGGCTGATGATGGTAAATGGTAAATGGCCTGTATTTGATATAGCACCTTCTAGAGTCCTGGAACCCCCCAAGGCGCTTTACAACATAGCCAGTCATTCACACATTCACACACTGGTGGGGGATGAGCTACGATGTAGACCACAGCTGCCCTAGGACGCACTGACAGAGACGAGGCTGCCGAGCGCTGGCGCCACCGGTCCCTCCGACCACCACCAGCAGGCAACATGGGTTAAATGTCTTGCCAAGGACACAACGACAGCGACAGAGTGAGCGGGGCTCGAACTGCAACCTTCTGATTACGGGGCGAGCACTTAACTCCTGTGCCACCGTCGCCCCAGCATGATGATGACCTTACCTTGTGGCTGTTCCTGTATTTCCACCACTTGTTCGCCATCTTTAACCATTTTCTCCGCTCGCTCGACCTCCAGCTGCTTCTGCTGTGAAGAACAAAACGTTCAGGTGAGACTCAACCATGGGGTTCATGGCGTGATGCATGAACAACATGGTTGGAAACAGACTGGCTATGGCACGTAAATGATTGATAACTCCATGATGTTCCACCACCATAACCTTGTCTTGATTACTTGTGTTTTGCTGGCTAAGGTACAGTTTCAGAGCTTTCTAATCCTTCCTCGGTATCTCTGTGTTTAGAGTACTAATGTCACTATCTCCTGCTTTGTTGGACACATATAGATTATTTCTGCAAATGTATTTTTATCGATTTGAGCCGTTGTAAAGTTTTATGTCCCGCAAGTCTTTGTTCACGAGGTTCCTGGTGATCAGAAACACTTCTTACCTTCTCCTCGTGTACCGTTGGCGCCGGCAGCTCGTTCTCACTGCAGAACAAAAATAAACCATCAGGTATTAAACAACAGCCAACACCACAGCGCCACCAGCTGGTGGGAAAGATTTACAGAAACAGGACGGACTCACTGCATGAAGCCGAAGCGGTCGATGGATTTATAGACGCTGTAATCAGCATCCTCCCAGGGGTCGATGTCCACTCCTCCATGTCGGCCCTAAAGTCACAAAAACACTGATTTATTCAGACGGACGTGAAGAGAAAATGACACGGAGACATGTCGGATCAGTCTGGGAAAGGGAACAATCGTGGAAATCTGACAGGACAGAACAACAGATCAGATCAGTCGTCTAATCCGATTCTAAAACAACTCATGAACAACAGAATAATATATTTATAAAAACAGAACAAGAGGAAAGTAAATGAGCTTGACGATGAAGAAAATGCATTCTGAGATGAAGCTCAGCTTAGTTTACCAAAAGAAAACAAAATAATTATATTAAGAATACAAAGTTTCAGATTATATTTAAAGTTAGTGTATTATATGTCCAACTAATTAATTATTTAATAAACAATAAATACAAGAAAGTCAGTAAATATGCATGAACACATTTGTTAAACACATATAACGCACACGTTACACACACGTTACACATTTTTACACTTATCACATGTACAGACACTTTACTATGGCGCTAGAGATCAGGACTTATTACATGTAACTTGTATCATGTTTTGTAACTGTAACTTTCCTTTTGATTGCATGAAATTATTGTATTGTAACTTTAACTTTCGGTTTGTAACTTGTAACGCTCGGGTTAGTAACTTGTAACTTTCAGTTGTAACTTGTAACGTGATGGTTTGTTACTTGTAACTTTCGGTTTGTAACTTGTAACTTTCGGTTTGTACTTGTAACGTTCGGTTTGTAACTTGTAACTTTCGGTTTGCAACATGGAACTTTCGGTTTGTAACATGTAACTTTCGGTTTGTAACTTGTAACTTTTGGTTTGCAACAGTAACTTTCGGTTTGTAACTTGTAACTTTTGGTTGTAACTTGTAACTTTTGGTTTGTAACTTGTAACGTTCGGTTTGTAACTTGAAACTTTCGGTTTGTAACTTGTAACTTTCGGTTTGTAACTTGTAACGTTCGGTTTGTAACTTGTAACTTTCAGTTTGTAATTGTAACTTTCGGTTTGTAACTTGTAACTTTCGGTTTGCAACATGTAACTTTCGGTTAGCAACATGGAACTTTCAGTTTGTAATTGTAACTTTCGGTTTGTAACTTGTAACTTTCGGTTTGCAACATGGAACTTTCGGTTTGCAACATGTAACTTTCGGTTAGCAACATGGAGCTTTCAGTTTGTAACATGTAACTTTCGGTTTGTAACATGTAACTTTCAGTTTGTAGCTTGCAGAAAAAAATCTATGTACAAGTTTCAAATAATAACTCACACATGTTACAAACTACCCACAGGTAACACACATTGCACACATTACCTATGTTACACATACCAAACCATTTTTATGTAGCACATTTAAATACAGCATGTGAGCTGACCAAAGTACTGCACAAGCAGTCATAAAAGAACCATTTAAAATAGTTTAAAACAGTCAATAAAAATAGATAAAAACCAACCTAAAAGCAATAGAAATAAAGGAAAAAGCACACATTACAAATACTACCCACACATTACCTATATACCTTGAAGTTCACCTGGACAACAGACTGGACTGGAGAAAGAACAGCGAAGCCGTTTACAAGAAGGGACACAGCAGACTGCACTTCATGAGGACGCTTAGGTCCTTCAATGTCTGTAGCAAGATGCTGCAGATCTTCTACAAGTCTGTTGTTGAGAGTGTAATCTCTTCAGCCATCGTCTGTTGGGGTAGCAGCATCAGAAGCAGGGACCTGAAAAGACTCAACAGCCTAATAAAAAAGGCTGGTTCTGTTCTGGGGACGACTGTGGAACCGCTGGAGGAGATAATGCAAAGAAGGATTCTCCAGAGAATCAAGAAAATGATGGACAACCCTGAGCATTCTCTTCACAAGACTGTCCGACAACGGAAGAGTGTCTTCAGTCAGAGGCTTCTTCAGTTTCGCTGCAACACTGACCGCTACTGGAGATCCTTCCTGCCAACAGCCATTGTAATATACAACAACTCTTTGATGACTTGATTATTATTATTATTATTCTGAGCTACTACAGCAATCAATTTCCCTCTGGGATTAATAAAGTATTTTTGAATTGAATTGAATTGAATATGTTACACACATACTACACACATGTTATATACGTATGTTAAACACATACCAGCAGCTTGTTCCTTTAGCGGTTTCCCTGCTATTTTTAATAATATAAATAATCGTTGCTTTATCCTTTATTTGAGCAGGTAAACCTCTCACTGATGTAAAATCATTTTTTCCCAGAGACCTGACCCAGGCAGTAAAAATGAGTTTTAACGAAAACAAACGCTGTTGTGTAAAACCTGAACAATGATGCTGTTGTTGTTCTGAACAAAGAACCCAGAACCAACAGACTCAGAAGTGGAAATGGCTTCATACATACCAGGTGTGGAAACAGAAACCAGGTTTAACAGAACACCAAAACAGAAAAGTGAAATCTGCCCGAAACTCATCAGAATCAGATTCAGTCAGAAAGATCAGAATTGTGAATTTCTATCCTAGAAATGTGTTTACGCTCAGAGGAAACTGATCCTCAGAGAGGAGGAGGAGCGGAGGTACAACACCAGCACCTGGTTTGACCAGCAGCCAATCAGAACACAGCTCTAAGCTAAATCATCGTTGTGAAATTCAGCTTGTTTTATAACTCTTCTTTTTATTAGTGGCTGGGGGGGGGGGGGGGGGGGGGGGTTTAGAGGAACAAGAACTGATAACAGGAGGAACGTGAAAAATAGGAAATCATTGAACCCAACATTCGATGTGTGTCTCAAATATGGATAAATTGGGATCAAAATAAATGGTTTAGGATGAAAATCAAAACAAAAGAATCTTGTGTAGTTCAGATTGCAGGTATTTGGTTTTTATATCGCTGATACAGACATAAAGGACACGGTTGGCAAAGCTAATTTTCCTGCTAAAATGTTACTAATAACATCACAAATCCGGTTTTGAACTTTAACTTTAACCAACTGTTTTATCTTATATTTGTGCACAGCTCAGTGTTAACATCAGGCATCTAAATACAATCAACTTCACAAGTATTAAAGGTCAACTTTACTCAAGTTTTTACTACATGTGCGGTGGTTTCTTGTAGGAATTAATGCCTTCAAAAGCCTCTCTCTGGGGAAAAAAGCTCTGGTGCACCTGTCTGAGTACGAAGAGTTCAGGTGGAGGAGAGAGAAGCAGAACACGGCAGGATTTGGTTTCTTATTTCCTGATATTTGGACATCTCTCCTCTGATTGGCTAACAGCAACTCGACTCTACCACCGACTCTGTTTTCTCTGCAACGTTGATGTTTTATCTCCACAAATAACCACAAGCCTGGAGGAGTTCTGCTGTGTGGTGGAGTTGCTAATGCTAACTGTTAGCTTCTACTAGCCAAGATGTCCTCTGCTGTTTCTTGGACGCTAAACCAACAACAGCCTTCTCCATCACGAGTCAAGATGGATGAGTCCATGAATGTTGAGTGACAGCGTGACGTAGATCTGTCAGGCTTTTCCAATCCTAGAGTTCTACTGTCTAGTTTCTATCAGAACCTGATGCAGGAGATAGGTGTAGGAGACTATTTTCATGTTCAGCCTGCATGAAAACCTCAGAGTGACCCGTTAAAATTAGAAATGACCGTTAAAAAAGGTTTTATCGGTGACGTTGACTTTTAAATGTCCAAAACTTGTAAATAAAAGGAAACTTTGGTTGAAATTATTTGTACAGCATTTGTTATGTTTGATCCCCAGTGAGTCGTGGAGGATGGCTGCTTACACTGAGCCAGGATTCTTTGGAGGTTTCTTCCTGTTAAAAGGGAGTTTTCCTCTCCACTATCGCTGCATGCTTGCTTAGGATGAGGATTGCTGTATAGTCACTGACACTAGTCAGTGACTTGATGCAATTTGCTGGGTTCCTTATATAGGAAACATTATTTCTGATTGGCTTAATGAACTGTGAATTGGAATGTTCATTATGTGAAGTGCCTTGAGACGACTCTTGTCGTGATTTGGCGCTTTATAAATAAACTTGAATTGAATTGATTTATGTAGACATTATTCAAAGAACGTAAATATACATGTAAAATTAAATTACGCAGCACCGGGCTTCCCGGGGATGTGCCTGACTTTAACTTAACTAAATAGTTGTATCAGCCAATGCCGACATATATAAAATTGGTCATTTTCAGCCAGATGCATCGTTCTACCCCTAGTTCAGATATAAAAACCATCAGTTTGGTTTTAAATGTTGCCTGTTTTCTGAGCTTTTTATTCTTCCATCACCTCCAAAAGGCACAAACATACTGTTACACAACAGGTTATTAATGCACACACACACACACACACACACACACACAGCCTCCCACCTACACACACAGCTACACATGCAGCTCGGACCGTGTCTGAATTCAAGTTTCCATCCATTTCTGTGACTCTGCTGCCTTTCCACACGAGAACGAGCCGTCACACATCACGAACACACTCGGAGGACCTGAACACACCAGACTCACCGTTGCATATTTCAGGATGATTTCTGAACGTTCCTCTGCTATTAGCGTCTCGATGTCTTTCTTCATGTCAATATCTGGGGAGAGGAGGAGAGAGGAACACTGGTGAGCCGGAGAACGAGTGAAGATGACTCAGAACACAGCTGATGGACGTGGGCGACTCCAGAATGAGTGAAAACACCTAAATCTATCACGGAAAACCAGAGTGGACGGGATGGGTAGCTACGTGGAAGTTAAAAGCTCAAGACCCGAATGGAGGGGTTTACCCATAATTCACAGCAGCACATTTTTAAGTGTTGGTCATCCGGGTAACCGGTCCGGAAGGGAAGCCCAGAACTCCCACTCCACAGTGATTCTCCAGAACCTCCAGGAGGATCTTAAGGCATGCCCAGGTCCAGGCCAAGGCATTTGATCCCTCCAGTAAGTTCTGGGTCTGACCCACGGGCTCCTCCCACTGGAATAACGAGCACAGGAATCTTCTGAGCCAAGCTGTGACCTGATGGTCTATGACGTCATCCTTTTACAACAATAAACTGGATCCCAACTGGAGCAGGAGCCTGGGAGCGTTATCCGTCGTCGTTGTCTTCCTCCGCTTATCCGGGTCGCGGGGGCAGCATCCCAACTAGGGAGCTCCAGACACCCGGCCACCTCCACCAGCTCCTCCGGCAGGACCCCGAGGCGTTCCCGGACCCGATTGGAGATGTAACCTCTCCAACGTGTCCTGGGTCGACCCGGGGGCCTTCTGCCGGCAGGACATGCCCGAAACACCTCCCCGGGGAGGCGTCCAGGAGGCATCCTGACCAGATGCCCAAACCACCTCAACTGACTCCTTTCGATCCGGAGGAGCAGCGGTTCTACTCCGAGTCCCTCCCGAATGTCCGAGCTCCTCACCCTATCTCTAAGGCTGAGTCCGGCCACCCTACGGAGGAAACTCATTTCGGCCGCTTGTATCCGCAATCTCGTTCTTTCGGTCATTACCCAAAGCTCATGACCATAGGTAAGGATTGGGACGTAGATCGACCGGTAAATCGAGAGCCTGGCTTTCTGGCTCAGCTCCCTCTTCACCACGACAGATCGGCTCAGCGTCCGCATCACTGCAGACGCCGAACCAATCCGCCTGTCGATCTCCCGATCCCTCCTACCCTCACTCGTGAACAAGACCCCGAGATACTTAAACTCCTCCACTTGAGGTAGGACCTCTCTCCCGACCCGGAGTTGGCAAGCCACCCTTTCCCGGTCGAGAACCATGGTCTCAGATTTGGAGGTGCTGATCCACAAGCGTTATCCACAAACATTAATCCCACTTAATGTGCATCTACTAGAGACACAGGCCAGTAAACCTCTGGATTAGGAACATCTCCAAAGTGAAAGGACATGGTGAGTGATCCCACATCAGTAACCAAACCCAACAGAGCTGTGAGGACCCACAAGACCTTCTGCTTTTACATTAACATTACCGTAGTTTGTTGGGACCTTGAAAACCTTTGTAAAACTCCTAAAACCAGATCAAGATTCCAGGGATCAGAACCAGAGCTGGCTTCTTGTGGCTGAGCCAAGACCACTGTGTTCTTCTCAGTAAGGTCTCCTCCCAGGAATGCATGTCGGAGGGCCTCCTGGTCTTCCCCTGAAGTATCATGATGGTCAGGTCTTTGAGTCACTCTCTGAGGGTGTCTTCCTCTGGAGATGTTCTGAGCACAGGGAGGAGATCCTGATGGTGACCAAGAACTCTCTGGGGACATTGTGTATCCTGTCTGGTCTAGGAATGCGTAGGGATCCTCCAGGAGGAGCTGGAGAGGAGAGCGAGGTCAGGAAAAAGTTTGGAGTTTGGAATGTTTCAGGGCCAGGTTGCATTCCCAAACTGAGGAATAAATCCAGCTCCAGAGTTCAGGATCAGGCTGGTTTTTAGGCGACTTCCTGGAGTTCACTAACAGAAAAGATCAGCGGGAGGATTCGGTCCAGAACCGGTACCTCTTCACCATAACTGGACCTCTGGGATGGATTTATGGACCAGAACCTGGATCTGGTCTGTGTTTTATTACAATGTTGAAACTTAATGTTTCTGATTAAGGAACCAGAACCCAGACAGAACCAGAACCCAGACAGCACCAGAACCCAGACAGAACCAGAACCCCGACAGCACCAGAACCCCGACAGCACCTGAACCCCGACAGAACCAGAACCCCGACAGCACCAGAACCCAGACAGAACCAGAATCTGACAGCACCAGAACCCGACAGCACCAGAACCCAGACAGAACCAGAACCCGACAGTACCAGAACCCAGACAGCACCAGAACCCAGACAGAACCAGAATCTGACAGCACCAGAACCCGACAGCACCAGAACCCAGACAGAACCAGAACCCGACAGTACCAGAACCCCGACAGCACCAGAACCCAGACAGAGCCAGAATCTGACAGCACCAGAACCCGACAGGACCAGAACCCAGACAGAACCAGAACCCAGACAGAACCAGAGCCCGACAGAACCAGAACCCAGACAGAACCAGAACCCCGACAGCACCAGAACCCAGACAGAACCAGAATCCTGACAGAACCAGAACCCTGACAGCACCAGAACCCAGACAGAACCAGAACCCCGACAGCACCAGAACCCAAACAGAACCAGAATCTGACAGCACCAGAACCCGACAGCACCAGAACCCAGACAGAACCAGAACCCGACAGTACCAGAACCCAGACAGCACCAGAACCCAGACAGAACCAGAATCTGACAGCACCAGAACCCGACAGCACCAGAACCCAGACAGAACCAGAACCCGACAGTACCAGAACCCCGACAGCACCAGAACCCAGACAGAGCCAGAATCTGACAGCACCAGAACCCAGACAGAACCAGAACCCAGACAGAACCAGAACCCAGACAGAACCAGAGCCCGACAGAACCAGAACCCAGACAGAACCAGAACCCCGACAGCACCAGAACCCAGACAGAACCAGAACCCAGACAGAACCAGAACCCAGACAGAACCAGAGCCCGACAGAACCAGAACCCAGACAGAACCAGAACCCCGACAGCACCAGAACCCAGACAGAACCAGAATCCTGACAGAACCAGAACCCTGACAGCACCAGAACCCAGACAGAACCAGAACCCGACAGGACCAGAACCCAGACAGAACCAGAATCCTGACAGAACCAGAACCCTGACAGCACCAGAACCCAGACAGAACCAGAACCCGACAGGACCAGAACCCAGACAGAACCAGAACCCAGACAGAACCAGAACCTGACAGCACCAGAACCCAGACAGAACCAGGGGTTTAGGCTGTATAACAGAAGCTGTAAATACCAGCTCTCATCTGAAGCGTACGGCGGCGGCGACGGCTGCGTGTGGTCACAATAAAAAATCACAGACGGGTTCTGGTTGGAGGCCCAGACTGGGAACCGGATCGCTCCTTCGCTTGGTTCTGGGTTTGTCGTCAAGATGAACTAAATCTGGAGAAATTTATTTAACAAACATCAGAAAATTGAATAAGATGTTTGTTAAAAGTAGAAACTATCAAGTCTGAAACTTGTTTCTTTATCAGTAATAATAATGACAACAATAACAATAATAATAACAACAACGACAACAATAATAAACAGGTTTTTGGGTCAAAGTCCCACTTGTAACTTTTTTTCTGGCGACTGAACTGGACTGCTCAGTGTTTTTGGACAGAACCAAATCTGAATTGGCTTCATAATTATAAATAGAAATAGATTTGAACTGTGTTTTATTAATGAGCGAATGTAATAATCATATATCTGTACTTGGAATGAATTGGAATGAAACTGACTTGGACTGATTCAGACTGAGTCTATCTGTGCTGTTTATTGGACTAAACTTGGTTAGATGTGGACTGGATTCCTTTTTGGTTTGTTTTAAATAAAACCCACCCTGAAACAAGTGGAAACTTAATTGGTCCTCTTAGCACACCTCTGTTGTCGCTGTGTTTCCTGGGGCTGCAGGCAAGGAGGGGGAGCTAGCTGTCTGGTGTGTGTGTGTGGGGGGGGGGCTTTGCTCAGCGTCACCCCAGCAGAAAGGAGCTAACTCTGGGAACCGGTGACGCTTGAACGCTTTGTGCAGCAGTACCAGGACCAGCGTGAATAGGGTGTGTGTGGGGGTGCATGAGTGGGTGTCTAGCATTCATTTTTGTAAGTCTTAGGTTGTGTGTGTGAGCATGAGGGAGGGAGTGTGTGACTGTACAAGCGCGTGTACACACACAGGTGCTCACATGGTGCTCTCATAAGTATGGACTTGGGCATTTTCAACACGCGTCTTAAGGCTGTGGTTGGCACTAAATGCACTGTGGTTTATTATCGCGTGGTTGTTCAGTTAAACAAAGTTGATTTTATATTTCCTCATCAGGTTGACGCAGTGAGTTTGCTCCAGTTGTATTGTTGTGTGTTGTTTTTCTCTTTCTGCAGGTCTAGAAGCAGACTCTTGTTCATCATTGATTGTTTATTTTTGTGGACACCCCCCCCCCCCCCCCCCCCCCCTTCACCTCTGTCTTCGTGTCTGGTCAGAATTAAAAGGCATTCAAAAACACTGACAATAAAGTTTTTAGTATCGGGCTCCACCTGAGCATACATCTGTACGGCTCGACACCAGCGTTCAGACAGGAATACTGTTTGCTTCACAGCCGAGACACGAAAAAAACAAAACAAAGAAAACCTAACTGGACTATATCTGTTTGACGTTGAGCATTTATTAAATGCAAGTTTGAGTTTAATTGCAAGACTAAAAGTGCACCTAAGTTAAGCGCATGGACGTAATTTGGGGGGGGGGGACAGGGGGGGCATGCCCCCCCCCACTTTTTCCAAAGTCAAGTTTTGACCCCTGCACTTTTTAATAATAATAATAATAATGATAATAATAATGCATTGAACTTATATAGCGCTTTTCAAGACACCCAAAGACGCTTTCACACACTCTCACATTCACACACTGCTAGTGATGGTAAGCTACTTGTAGCCACAGCCGCCCTGGGGAGGTCTGACCATCTAAAAACAATACTACGCTATATTAAATTGACACTGCTGAGCTCTAGGACCAAGTGGAAAACAACTGTTTGTGTTGAAGCCTGTTTCCAATTAGAGCATACTGTAAAGATCCCCCCCCCCCCCACACACACACACACACACACACACTTCTAAAGTGAAAATTACGTCCATGGTTAAGCAAACTGTTTACTTAGAAACTATTAAACAGATTTAAGGTTTTCATCAATGTTTTAAACAAATCAGCTAAATTAAAACATGGTTTAATTGATGTGGACCCTAACTAATTAAGCTGAATTAAAAAAAAGGTGAAACAGAAACAATGTGATGGCTGTAGTATAAATTTAGTGTAACTACGTAATAAACTGGAATGAGTTGGACTAGAGACCGACCGATATATTCAGTTTTATCTATATCGGCCGAAATTATTGATCAAAAAAATCTACTACTAGACTGAAGAAAGGACCAGAAGAAGCCCAACACACTGCTTTTGTTTATGTTTTGGGTTTGTTTCAATACATAGTAAGGGATTTATTAACTTATGTAATTTATATTGCACACAGTGAGTGTTCAGTTGTCTTTCACAACCAACGTGCTGCTAAAATGTAAATATATCAGCCTTAATAATCAGCTTTAGATATCGATTATCGGCAACAAAAATCTTTAAAAATTGGTATTGGCCTTAAAAAAAACACATCGGCCGGCCTCCAAGTTGGACTGTGTGGAAATATAAATGTTTCTTGAAGTGAATCGAAAGCTGAAATGAAAACTTCAGACTGAATTGGAACGATTTTACATTTTATTGAAACTGATTTGAGGGATTTAAGGGTGGCTTGCCAACTCCGGGTCGGGAGAGGGTCCTACCTCAAGTGGAGGAGTTTAAGTATCTCGGGGGCTTGTTCACGAGTGAGGGTAGGAGGGATCGGGAGATCGACAGGCGGATTGGTTCGGCGTCTGCAGTGATGCGGACGCTGAGCCGATCTGCCGTGGTGAAGAGGGAGCTGAGCCAGAAAGCCAGGCTCTCGATTTACCGGTCGATCTACGTCCCAATCCTCACCTATGGTCATGAGCTTTGGGTAATGACCGAAAGAACGAGATCGCGGATACAAGCGGCCGAAATGAGTTTCCTCCGTAGGGTGGCCGGGCTCAGCCTTAGATAGGGTGAGGAGCTCGGACATTCGGGGGGGACTCGGAGTAGAACCGCTGCTCCTCCGGATCAAAAGGAGTCCGTTGAGGTGGTTTGGGCATCTGGTCAGGATGCCTCCAGGACGCCTCCCTGGGGAGGTGTTTCGGGCATGTCCTGCCGGCAGGAGGCCCCCGGGTCGACCCAGGACACGTTGGAGAGGTTACATCTCCAATCTGGTCTGGGAACGCCTTGGGGTCCTGCCGGAGGAGCTGGTGGAGGTGGCCGGGGAGAGGACGGTCTGGAGCTCCCTAGTTGGGATATGCTAGTCCCCGCAACTAGGCTCAAAACAAGAGGAGACGGGGCATTTTCGGTAGCAGGCCCGAAATTATGGAATGCTGATTATGGAATGGGGGGCGTCACAGGGGGATCTCGCACAGGGCGCCATTTAGGCCAGCTCCGCCTCTGAGCGGAGGAAGACAACGATGAAGATTTGAGGGAAAAAACTGTTTATAGGAAACAGGAAGTAGTTGAATTCAATTGTTTTTTATTTTATTTACTGAAATGTTTTCACTTAATGGGATTCCAATTGGACATATTTAAATAGTATTTAATCAAAGTTAAATATTTTAAAGCAAATGAGAAATTAACTTTACTCACTTTGAGTCTAAATCAGTTCAGAAATAATCTGCTTATCAGGTTTAATTCTGCCAACTAAATCCCATTCAAGTGAATGTACTGTTGTTATTTGTATAAAAGGCTTCGTCTGATTGGCTGTTAGGTGTTGTTTACACCTCTGGGATTGGAGGAGTCTGGACCTTCTCGGTCTCCCGGTTCTGATCGTGTTTCTGCGCCTTAACGGAACAAAGATGCTGATTCTGGATCCATTTTGGACCAGATGTTCGAACAGCTGCTGCTGAGAGCATCACGGGCCTCCAACCGACAGAACCGGGCGGTGACGGTACAGAAGGATGTGGAATCTGTTCACGGTACCGAGGAGTCTCGGGAGACTCGGACCTGGATAAACGGACCGGTTATCCGGTAGCAAACGAAGCCGCAGCCTCGTCGTGATGATGGGAGCTTCACTACAATAAAATGACAAAAGGAGGGATGGATGAACGTTACCGTGTTTCTCCGGTGCTTCTCTGCGCTGTCCGTGCAGTACCAGTCCCGGTTCTCCTGATCATTCTCCGGTAAAAGAGCTGCTCGAACGGAACGGGGCAGAAAACAAAAGCCTCCCGCTCATCGGTGATCGAGAGGCGGCGGAGTCACAGTCGTGGAGCCGACAGGAGCCCCAGGACCCGAACATCTAGTGAGCAGGCGCCGCAGCGTGGCACCGACGGTCCAATCTTAGCCGTAACGACCCAGTCTTAAAGGTGCAGAACCTTCAGGAGAGGCTACAGTCCCGGACCCGGTACCGACGGCCGGCACTCTGCTGCCACCTACCGGTCAGACCCGGCGTTGCAGGAGGATGGGTGTAAAACATAAATTAACCGCATTAACGTATAAAATAATATAATTAACATAAAACTAGTTTAAGTAAAATAATTCAATAAAAGTATGCAAATAAATAGGACCAAGGGGGAAAAAAGACAACTGCATTTCATTTTTCAGAGTTTCCAAATCATTACATCATTGTTCAGGGTTTATAGGCCATTCATCCTTGTAACGCACTAAAACATCAAACATGAACGCTAAGCCAATAAATATGCAGCTCCAACCTGATCCCCACACCTTTCATCAGGACCAGGGGCCGGGTCTCCAGGTAGAGCTCTTCGACTTGATAAAGCTCAGTGAGAACAAAGATACCCGTTTAAAACATTCAAGGACAGAATCCTACCACCACAGAACCGAGCTTTTGGACCTGCAGCTCTCAGGTTCATGAAACAGCTGACTCAGCATAACTAATTCTGATTCTTTTTTTTCTTTTTGTTACATCAAACTCAGATTTACAGATTTATCAGAAATCATTTCAAACTAAATTTTAATTACATTTTAACAGTCTTTGGAAAACATCCAGCAAATAATGACATCACTGTGTGAGCAAAGGAAATAGGGCTGAACGACTTTAGAGAAAAAGACTAATGCAATTTAGCAGAAATTGTGATTTCAGTTAAATTCACAATTTTCATCAAACAAAAATAAAACACTATAATCTAATCCAGCACAACTAATCGTTCACACGATTTACTATCTAATAATACAACAGAAAGTTAGAGCTCTTAATATTTTCTCCCATTATTTATACCTTTTTTTTAAGCTTGTTGCTTGGCTTTTTTTTTTCCAGCTTCGTGTTTGAACTCATCAACCATCCCTCTGAGTAAGGTGTTGACTCTGAGCTGAGGTCTTGTGGTAAAATCCTCGTTGCACATAGGACATTTGTATGGATGTCCACCATCCCAGTGTAGGGTGATGCAGGTCAGGCAGAAGTTGTGTCCACATGGTGTGGTGACTGGATCAGTGAAAACAGTCAGGCAGATGGAGCACAGATACGGATCCTCAGATGTCGGGCTGCTGCCAGCAGACATGTCTGAACTGTCTGAACTCTGAGAACAAGAGTCAGAGAGGAGAAACTACAGATTAGAACAGATGCAGTGAGAACAGTTCTACAGAAACATTGCAATCACAGCGAAGAAAAAATAATTAGGATCAATACATTCAATTCCATTCAATTCAAATTCAAAAATACTTTAATAATCCCAGAGGGAAATTGATTGCTGTAGTAGCTCAGAATAATAATAATCAAGTCATCAAAGTGTCATGCTGCCTCCTTCACAACCCTCGGCATCCTCCCCTGGAGGATCCCACACTCACTCAGCCCAACCGAACTCCACTACCCAGCATTCCCAGCGCCAGCCTTCCGGTCCACGTCACGTCTACATAAGGAAGTACAGCTCAACACCAAACCACTCAGTCATCGTTCTAACTGAACTATGCTCCGAGTTCTGACCAGACCCAACCCGATCACTCAGCCCGTTCTGACCAGATCAGCCCGAGCCACTCACCCTGCCGACTCAAAGTAAGTCAGTTTGTTTCCGTTTGGAGCCGCTGTGCTTACCAGCTTTGTATGGTTTGACTCCTAGAGCAAATGCGTGTCAATCTGCCCGGCGTCAGTCACTCCGCCCTTGGGTTTAAACACACGCTACAATCCGAACGCTCCCTCCGGTTCAGATCACCTCGAGTAAGGCCTTACAGGATGACTGAGTGCTTACCTGGGGTGCTGCCTGCCATTCTCATCGACCTCCTCAACCCGATTCAGAGCCTGGCCACCCAGTTCCTGAGGATGTCGACAAGTCACAGTTCCCCTCCTATTATCATGACCTGGCTCAGGTTTTTTCAAAAAACCCTACCACTGTCTTGCCTCCTCACCGCCCTTATGACCTGGAGATAAAACTCCTGCCCGGTTCTGTTCCCCCTCGGGGCCGCTTGTACTCTCTGTCTCCAGCAGAGACTCAGGCCATGGATGCCTATATCGCCGACGCCCTTCAACATGGGTTCATCCACCCTTCCACCTCGCCAGGAGCCGCGGGTTTCTTCTTCGTGAAAAAGAAGGAAGGGGGTCTTCGACCCTGCATCGACTATCAGGGTTTAAATAAGATCACGGTCCACGATCGTCAACCCTTGCCTTTAATGACTACCGCCCTGGACGTAGTGTCCCAGTCCACCATCTTCACCAAGTTGGACCTGCGCAGTGCTTACAATCTAGTCAGGATAAAGCAAGGCGACGAGTGGAAGACCGACTTTATCACCCCGACAAGCCACTGGGAATACCTAGTGATGCCTTTTGGCTTGTGCAACAGCCCCACCGTTTTCCAACGCCTTATCACGGACATCCTGAGGGACATGTTGGGCAGATGGATTTGCGTTTACCTCGATGACAAATTGATTTATTCCCGAACCCTAGAGGAACATGTCACACACGTCCGAGCAGTCATTTCCCGGCTGTTGGAGAACCGGCTCTACTGTAAGTTAGAGAAATGTGCTTTTCATCAGGAAACCATTTCCTTCCTGGGGTTCGTCGTCTCATCTCAGGGTTTCTCAATGGACCCCCAGAAAGTCAGACTGTGGCCCAGTACACGTCCCGGTTCCGAACCACGGCTGCCAAACTGAGATGGGGGGATGATGCCCTGAAAGCAGTCTACCTGGAGGGGCTCTCCCCGTGTATCCGAGATGGGATGATGGGGAGGGAGACCCCAGAGACCCTGGACGAGGCGGCCGACCTCGCTCTTCAAATGGACCTGCGTCTCAATCCCCGTCAGGCCCGCTGGGCACTGTTCTTTGAACCATTCCACTTCCACCTGGCCTACTGCCCTGGTTCAAAGAATCTGAAGGCTGACACCCTCTCCCGCCGTTACACCTAATCTGCACCCGTCTGGGAACCGCCACCTATTCTCCCAGCCCAGAAGTTCATCACAGCTCTCCACTGGCCAGTAGAGGACGCCATCCGGGCTGCCTTGCCCACCGATCCCGCACCTGCCGATGTGCCCTCCGACCGGCTTTATGTGCCTTCCACCTGCCGCTCTGAAGCCCTGGCCTGGGGAAATGCATCCGGCCTGGCTGGACACCAAGGGGAGACCCGAACCCTTCAGTTCCTGCCACTTGCACTATGGTGGCCCTCTATGGCCAAAGACGTCAAGGAATACGTGGCCGCCTGCTCCACTTGCGCCCGCTCCAAGACCCCGAACCAACCCCCGACTGGAGCTCTACAACCTCTCCCAATACCACACCGACCATGGTCCCACATCGGCCTAGACTTCATCACAGGGTTACCTCCTGTCAACCAGCTCGAGACCATCCTAACAATCGTGGACAGATTCTCGAAGGCGGTCCACCTGGTGGCGCTTTCTGGTCTGCCCACAGCCAAGCAGACGGCCGAAATCCTCCTGGAGCAAGTGGTGCGCCTCCATGGGTTCCCCCAGGACATAGTCTCGGATCAGGGACCCCAGTTTATGTCCAGATTCTGGAAAGCTTTCTGTCGGCTGGTTGGTGCCAGTAGTAGTCTCTCCTCTGGTTACCATCCACAAACCAATGGGCAGACTGAGCGTGCCAATAAGCAACTTGGTTGGTACCTCCGCTGCTTTGCCTCGTCCCAACCAACCACTTGGCCCAAATACCTCTTGTGGGCGGAGATGTCCCACAATCTCCACGTCTCCTCGGCCACTGGTCTCTCCCCGTTCGAGCTATGTTACGTATACCAGCCCCCTCTCTTCCACCACCAGGAACCTGAGACTGAGGACCCCGCTGCCCAGACCCTGGTTCGGCGTTGCCGCCTCGCCTGGATCCGTGCTCGGGCAGCCATCCAGCGAGCTAACACAGAATACACTCGCCAGCACAAATGCCACCATCGGACAGGGCCGACTTTCCAACCTGGCGACAGGGGTTCATAGCGCTAGAGTTTCAGATGTGGTACAGTCGTTGCTGATAACTCCAGCTGAAGGCAGGGAGGGATTCAGACACCACAACAAACAAAATTTCCTAATTTATTTGTATACAATTAAAAGCATTTAAAAAAATCAATGACTGAAAAAATAAAGTGTAAATTTTTTCAGAGTTCAAATTGTATTTAAAGCAAAAACACAAACACTATAGTAAGCATAAATAAGTAACAAATAAGAACAAAGGTTCAAAACAGAGGATCCTGGGGTCTGACTCCTCTCAGCAAGCAAGTCGGAGATGAAATGCAGGAAGTGGAACTACAACAAAAACAGGCTTTATATAATTTTATTACATTTACAACTGAGAAGTTTATATCCTTTTGAATATTTGTAAAAATCAAATGTATGATCAAAAAGAAATAAACACATGAATTTTTTTATTTTGCCATTTGTGTTTTTGTAACCTTTATAACTTAATTCCTTTTTAGACATTCATCCTCTTGGATACACTTCTTCGGTAAAAATTTGGCATGTTTCTAATTCATAATTTGTAAGAATGTAATAAGTGATATTAGCATTAGCATTCCTATGGGTTTTTCCATGTATATTAGCATTGCGGTAACCACTCGCTGCCAGTAAAATTGCAGACTTTGCGATTAGAAAATCTCCTTTTGTCACATCGCAATTTAATTGCACATGCAATTAATCGTTCAGCCCTAATATACATGCTGCTCTATGCTAAAAGTGTATTTTCAAAGAGTCGCTAAAAATTAACAATAGGTCACAATCATACTTACTATTAATTGTGTAACGTTTCGATGCCTTTCAAATGGTGGCCTTTCTGCTCTCAGGATGTTGAGAGGCGATGGTAAGGCTGTGATAAGTCCCTTTTAAAAGGTAATGATGGATTTCTTTGTAAAAGTTGTCCGTCTTTCCAACAGAAAGATTTGTCTGGACCAACGTAACGTGATAACGTAACTTCTGTAAGCTTCATGTTCAGC